CTTATGGAGGATTTCTCGAGTGTTGCCACTCAGTGTCCCAAACAGGGTACCATTACCATCCATGACAATGAAGCCAAACTTGTCATCGGACTCCAGAAGTTCGTTCAGGGCTTCGGTGTGGAACTTGTTGTCACAGAGGTAGAGAGACGCATTGATGGGCCTGAAAGGCTCAAAGTCCATAGTCACCTTCTTCTCCTTCCCATCATCAGTGACAATTGTTCCGGTGTAGAGCACGAGACCGTTAGGTGGGACCTTGTTGTAGAGTTTCAGCCTTTGCTGAGCAGACGTGATGGCGCCCAGAACAGATTGACGGTTGACCCTGCTCTTGATATTTGAAGCAGTTCCGTACTCATCACCAAGCATCTTAGCAATACGAGAAATTTGGTCGCGTGGAGGTATGACAAGGGAAATCATGCTTGTCCCATTGCCTCTGGCAGCTTCCAGAGACTTGATGAGCTTCTTGATCTTCCAGATCTCAATGTTCTTGTCATCGCTGTCAGCCATCGTGAGAGATCTGAAACAACCCCTTGACGCGTCAAACAGTAATAAATAAGAAACCCAGAGAATTCTCGACAAAGAATTAAAAGTAGGAAACCAAGTATGCTGCAACAGAGCCACATAATGAATAGATACACAATTGCATACAGAGAAGCTAGGAGCGTCCAAGAAAGAACACTGATATTCATTCCATTAAAACAACAAGGTATACGATCAGTTAAACTCGACAAAACCAAGAAAAAGCAAATTGAATCCATGGTTTACGATGACATTTTCAATGCATAGGCCAGAAATTCAGAATCTAAGAGTAAAAATCAGACGCAAGACACGCATATCGGCAAATCCAATGACGATAAAGCTAAGGATTCATCAACAAACCCTACTCGATTTCAGCTATGCAAAAAAAAAAACGCTTCCAATCCTAATCCTTCTGCTTCCGATTTCTAGATCGATGAACGTTGCCATGCTTCAGTTTCTCACAAACTGAACAGCCCGAGAAATCCACCGGAATTACCCGATTCACATCATAACAACACAAGCTAACATGAAAAAACCGAATCCAAACATAGAATTGACAGATTCGAGACATGGAAGAAGGAATTACCGTAGATTCTGTGAGAGTAAGAGGATCCTTCTCCGCGACGGCGAGCGTTTGGCGCAGAGAGAGGGGGCGAGATGGAAGAGAGAAAAGGAGGGTCACGCAACTTGAGCTAGGGTTTCAGGAATGACCGAGTGGCGAAAATTCTAATAAATAACTTCTTTTTTATTCCTTTTTTTGTTTTTTTCGAAGATATATATCTTTTAGTGTTTTCGTACTAATATTTTTTTTCTTCTTCTTTTACTAACGCTAAGATTTGGGTAAATTGCAAGGTTGGTCACGAAAAGTGCTGAAAAAATCACGTTTGGTCATTAAAAGTATTTATTTCATTCGTGGTCACTGAAAGTGGTTAAAATTTCACTTTTTGTCACTCTCTATTAATCGCCGTCATCATCCCTTAACACCGTCAGTTTTTTGCTGACATGACTAACATAAATGTTGATTCACCAAATTTTAACCAGCCACATCAGACCCTCTGCATAACCTAACCCTATTTAACCCCTAACCCAACCCTACTCGAACCGACAATACCCCACCCACCTTCCCACCACCATCGCCGCCGCCTACCATCCCTTCGTGCCACCATCACGGCCTTGGCGCTGCTTTCCTCCTCCTTCTCCTCTGTGACCTCCAGCAGTCTCTTCCAAACCCTTTTGTCTCTTTCAATCCCTCTTGTCGACTCCCCCACAAAGCTCAATGGCGGTTCCCCTAAGCGATTGACGACCAGAGATAGCAAGAAGATGAAGATCTGCGATTAAAACATGGACGAGACTTTTTGCTGAGAACCAGATCGATGTTGATTGCTCTTGCCCCTCTCCACCCTCCAATCCTCTGAACTCAACGACGCCCTCTAATCCTCCGACCATCTGTTTTCCCAATTCGAGATCTTCCCCAATCGTCGTCTCACCTTCTCATCTCCAGCAATTCGAGGAGCGGTGAGGCGAAGTTTTAATTCGGTCTTTTTCTCCGAATGAAAAGTTGGTGATGGATGGACCTCAATAGAGAGACAGAGGCACGAAGTGAGAGCAGAGGAGCACCGACAGTGAGGGAGATAAAGTTGGAAGGAGGGAGATCGAAAGTCGACGTCTTCCCACAACTCGTCACCGGCGCTCTCCACTGCTTGTCCTTCCTTCGATCAGAAATCCCAAAGAATCAAAGTGGGAATAGAGGCGGCACTTCATAAAGGAAGGGGAAACAAGGAAAAAGAAGAGAGGCTCGGGTTGGGTGGGGGTTGAATTAGGTTGGTTTATGTACTGGGTCTTATGTGGCAGGTTATATGACATGGCGGGTCGGATTTTATGATGTGGCCGATTAAAATTTGGTGAATCAGCGTTTTTATTAGCCACATCAGCAAAAAACTGACGGTGTTCACGGAGGCTGACGGTACTAACAGAGAGTGACCAAACGTGAAATTTTAACCACTTTCAGTGACCACGGATGGAATAAAATACTTTTAGTGACCAAATGTAAATTTTTAGCACTTTTAGTGACCAATCTTGCAATTTACCCGCTAAGATTTGCTAATACATTAGACAAATCTCATATCGATAAGGGAAGAAAGAGATTTATGATGTATAAATAAGAAACTGATAATGACAACATGCGTTTTTTCCGTGAAACAAGGAACTTTAATAAAAACCCTGAAATTAAACACGCTAACTATGGAGCAATGAAACGATGGGTGATCTTTCGAAAAATTATATTGATATGCTTTCCAAGGCAAAAAGAACTTACGGTCTAAATCCAAAAAAAGACAATATATTAGTTGGAAAAAATGACGGGATGTTGCAAGTGACATCAAAATCTCAAAATTTCTATGTGTCTTTCTTGGATATTAGTGGGGCAAATTTCTATTTTCTTTTTGAGTGTTTGCTGGGATGGATTTGGAGTGCAACCGAAGTTCAACAAATGTATAATGACGAGACTAAATCAAGAATAAGAATCCGATTCATGTTGAAGGTTTTCTCCCTACAGTATTGTTTAAGCTGTAGGCACAAAGCAATATGACAAGCACACCGTCTTGAACTCTCTTTACAAGAAGAAATTGGTCCTCACCATCAAATGATGAATCAATAGATAAGTCAGTTGAAGTTTGAACAAAAGATAAACAATTACATAATCTCAAGGTTGGAAGATCAGACCCTGTAACGTAGAGCGCACATGAACGGAGAGTGACCAAACGTGAAATTTTATTCACTTTCAGTGACCAATCTTGCAATTTACCCGCTAAGATTTGCTAATATATTAGACAAATCTCATATCGATAAAGGAAGAAAGAGATTTATGATGTATAAATAAGAATCTGATACTGACAACATGCGTTTTTGCCGTGAAACAAAAGAACTTTAGTAAAAACTCTGAAATTAAACAGCCTAACTATGGAGCAATGAAACGATGGGTGATCTTTCGGAAAATTATATTGATATGCTCTCCAAGGCAAAAAACTTACGGTCTAAATAAAAAAAAGAAGATAATATGTTGGTCGGAAAAAATGTCGAGATGTTACAAGTGACATCAAAATCTCAAAAAAATTATGTCTTTCTTGGATATTAGTGGGGCAAACTTCAATGAGTACGTTGAGTCCCTCAAGGGAGGTGTACATAACACTTTAGACAAATTTTACATCGACAAACAAACTATGAGAGTGATCCAATAATTGATAAGTAAGAAACCAATCTTAACTGATAAGATGCGTTTTTTATGAAGTAGATGAGTTATGGTAAGAACTTTAAAGTTAAATGTGCTCATAGTGAAACAATGCATGGATGAATAGCTTTATGTAAAGTTATCTTTGATCCACCTAAAGACAAAAATCGTATTGCTCTAGACCAAGAGTGAATGATGTCACAACGTTCTTGTTAGGCCGGAGTATTATCTTTTGGAGTGTTTGCTGGGGTGGATTTGGAGTGCAACCCAAGTTCAACAAATGTATTATGACGAGACTAAATCAAGCATAAGAATCCGATTCACGTTGAATTTTCTCCCTGCAATATTGTTTAAAGTTTGATCTACTATGCTTTAAGTTGTAGGCACAAAGCAATATGACAAGCACACCGTCTTAACCACTCTTTACAAGAAGAAATCGGTCCTCACAATCAAATGAAGAATCAATAGATAAGTCAGTTGAAGTTTGAACAAAAGATGAACAATTACATAATCTCAAGGTTGGAAGATCAGACCCGGTAACGTAGAGCGCACATGAACGTGATCAAGAACACAACCGTCAATGGGAATTTCTCTGGAGAAATCCTTCCTCCCGGGGCATTTATCACCACCACCAGTAAATAACCGGAGAACGCCCGACCGGAGGGTTAAAACTCCTCTCGCAGCTCCGTCATCAATTTTCTCAAATCAACAGGGTGAATTCAAGGAACCCCTGTTCATGATTGGCAGACGACCTCGGTTCAAAGTGCCATCCATCACCCTCGTTCCAGAAATCCTCAGCTCCTTCCTTCATGAACCGATCGGCGAGCGCTTTGATTTGGTCTCTCGGAGCCATGGGATTGTAATTGGAAGGAGATATCGTTGCTGGGCGGTGGCGGGTAATCGCCGGCGGCTAGTTTGGCGCGGATTGAGGATCGGATTCTGGCCTGGTAGAGCTGCTTCTCTTGGTCGAGGAGGCGTTTCTCCTTCTCCGAGGCCTTCTTCTCGTGGAGGCGCTTCCACTGCCACTGAAGCGAACAAAGACGCGGTTGTGAAGTAGGTGGTTGGCAGCCATAAGGGTTGGGACGGCGGCGATAGATGAACGGCCGGCGGTTCCTGACGAGCTATCGAAAGCAGAACGCGGCGGCGAAGGGAGAACGAGAGAGTGGGAAAGGCGAAGGTAGGAAATTTTATGGGCTCACTGGACGGATGTAAATAGAGAGCACATAAATGATATTGGGCTTTGAAAGCCCAAATTGGTAGAAAAAGAGCTCCACCGGTTCTTTTTTCGTCTCTCACAGTCTTTGGAAGTGAGAACGGTACAGCGAAAGCTCGAAACTCTGCTCTGGCCTTCAGGCTTCGGTCTCGTAGTTCTCTCACCGGCGGCGATCTCTCCATCACCTAATGGCTCCCGCTGGCCCCCGATCCGGCGACGCAATCTTCGCTAGCGTCGAGCGCGTGGTAATATTAGTATTTCCTTCTTTTCTCCCGCTGTTTCTTTAGATGCCAAACGGGGGATTTGTACTGTAGGTTGTATGTGATCGATCCAGTGGGTTTCTCGGTTCCGGAGGGTTTCATTTCTCGAGTTTTTATCTGTTTGCTTCATGTTTCTGGTTGATGATTGTATCCCGAGGCTTAGTGTTTCCTCGTAATTTTCTGTGGGAATTGGGATCGGAACTGAGGAAATGTTAGCTCTTCACTGTTTCGTCGCTCGATTGTCATTTAAGACGTGAGACTGATGTGTTGAAATGTGAATTCTGATGCAGAATGCGGAGCTGTTCACGCTTACGTATGGCGCGATTGTGAGGCAGTTGCTGACAGATTTGGAGGAGGTTGATGAGGTCAACAAGCAGCTGGACCAAATGTAAGGGTTAAGTAAGAACGCTTTGTTAAAGAAACTCCTTATCACGAGAGTGGCTTTAAGACCTTTGATTTTGCACGAGCCTGGTAACTTGGAGAAGTGAGCTAAAGATGAATTTGGAAATGAGTCTCTCTGGTGGCGCGTTTTCTGTAGGTCTAATTCTCTAGTTACTTGTGGTTATTGTTGTCGCCAACGATTGTAGAAGCTCCTCTTAATGGAGCTTACTTGTGTCTTCGACAAATGGCCTTTTATGCAGAAAGTGGGAAGATGGAAGTGATTATTTGTTTTGAGAATTCTGACACTAATTTATTTGTGTATGCTTGATATGCTGTTAGGGGCTATAACATTGGGATTCGGCTTGTTGATGAGTTCCTGGCGAAATCTAATGTCTCTAGATGTGTGGACTTCAAGGAGACTGCTGAAGTAATTGCAAAGGTTAGGGGCACTAGTCTCAGTAATGTTTGTTCTATGTAGATTGTGTTACTCGTGCTTAGTGACTTAAAAATGTTGTATAGAACCATGATGCCAAGAGAACTCTCGGTAAATTTATTTTGGATAGACCAAAACCACCTCTTCATTGTGGTTGTTTCTTCTGACTGAACTTTGTAAAACCTTACTGCTTCTATTCAATAAGGAAATTTAAGATGTACCTACATCTGTAAGCCGCTTGGTATTGATTCAGTAATGAAAAAAAAGCTTCCCGTTCGTTATTCCATAACTTTTGCTCTTGTAATTCCTTATTCCAGTTAAAGCATTGCCTTACTGCTTATTTTTCTTTGTCAAGGAACCATCTTTACCACCTAAAAATTCTGTCTCTCAGCATCCTGAATTCCATAAGCTTATCTTCCTATGTTTACCGTTCTGAGTTGTTATTTCTTGACTTCCTATAGTCTGTCTAGGTGCCCTTTTCATATCTCCCCTTCTTGTTTCCCTTTTATTTTTCAATTTCAAGTGCATAGCGAAAGTTCTTTTGGAGATTGATACTTTCTTTGTGATAGGAACTGTCAAAGGCATCCCAATATCTATGACTGCACAGAAGTCGCATATAAGCAACATTTGCTGATAAAGCTTTTTTTACAGGTGGGTTTTAAGATGTTCCTTGGAGTTGGTGCTTCTGTAACCAACTGGGATGCTGAAGGGACATGCTGCAGCATCGTTTTGGAAGATAATCCTCTGGTGGACTTTGTCGAACTTCCTGATACTTGTCAAGGCCTTTACTACTGCAACGTTTTGAGTGGAGTCATCAGAGGAGCCCTAGAAATGGTTAGTGTACCCTCCTGTGCCTCTCTCTCCCTGGTCTTTTCATCATCCTCTTAGTCTGTTTACCTCTCTCCCTTTCCGTATAATGTTTGTATATGTTCTTTAGAGTTATCATTCTGGTACTTAGGACCTTATGACTTGAAGGGTTTAGCACCTTGGCCAGAGCGTATTGATTAGAGGCCCCATTAGCAAGAAGAGTGAACCAGCTTATGTGCAGAATTTTTATAGTTGATTCTTGGCCTCGGAGTACCTTCAAACTCTTACCGAAATGCATTACTGATTACCACGAGACTGAATTGATATTTTCTTCTTGTGGATATATCTATATTTGCTTGCTACTATCTCTATTTTTTATTCCAGTACATTCTACAATACATCTCATATGTTAAAGTGAAAACGATGGTCAACTTAAGAGTTAAGGGTTATTTAGCAACCTATCTCGTGCATTTTGTTTTGGTTCGTTGTATTGATACGTAGTGTTCTGTTATCTTCAGGTATCCATGAAAACGGAAGTCACATGGCTTCGCGATGTGCTCCGGGGAGACGACGTGTTTGAATTGCAGGTTAAACTTATAAAGCAAGTTCCAGAAGAGTACCCATACAAGGATGATGAGTAAACATCCTTGCTTGCCCCTCCCTGGCTGTTTATACACTTATAATATCCTCTTTTCCCCGTGTTTTTTTATCCTGGAAGGAGGAATTTCTCTGTTAATGTTGAAAATCTTCTGCATCTCCGAGGCTACAACTTCTTGTACCTGGATTAGATCACACTAGATGACTGTGTAAGCTTGTTTAGCAGTTGATTGAGCATTTCTTAAATATTTCCATGTGATGCCTGTAGCGGAGTAGCCTATTTTGGATTGTTACCCTACTCGATGGCAAGATTCGGTTCAATTAGATTGGAATCGTCTTTTGGATCAATCCGAATGGCAACAGGATCGGACTAAATCAGATTGAAAACACTCTTCTTGCCAAATTTTTTTTGGGGGAAACGATACTCTACAAGTGTCTATTCGCGCACTTCAACACATGAACCAAAGGTGGACAATAGCCAACACCACAATGTCACAAAGACTTACAATGACAAGATCTTGGAGCCATGAAATCCAACAAAATTGTCGAGAACTAGGAACACTCGAACAAAATCCTACCGAAGTTTAAATTTTACAGTACTGGCCTCAATAAAGCCTCATCTTAACCCTCGAAAAATGAAGGGGGGAGAGGAGGAAGAGCAAAGGAAAAGACTAGGGCTTCTCATCAGATGCCAATCCATCCGTCGAGAGTTCTGAGTGGGATGTTTCCTCGAACGAAGTAAGCTGTTACAAAATCACTAGATGTTCTTCCTATCTTTAGCTATTGGGGGTACAGCAAACTGGTTTGATCAAACATAAACACAAGTATAAGCACTACAGATGAAACTTGGGTCAGAGGGGGCATCAACGGAGTGAGAGAGAAATGGTATCAACAGGCACAACCACCACGTTGCTCGTTTTCGGGGACAGCGTCTGGGATGCTCTGGAAGTATCTGGAGAAGAAAGAAGAAAAACGAGACACGAAACGAGGATTAAGAAGATTCAAATTCAGTTGCTAAATCAAATTCAAGTTGTCAATCTGGAAGGAACTACGCGAAGTTTCATAGTTGATGATTGTCATGATCAATAATGCAGGGAAAGGGTTGAACTTAATGATAGTTCTCGTCAATCTAAGATGTACAATTCAGAAGATTCAAATTTTCAGAAAAATAGTTACTAATGAATTTTGCATATGGGGTGGTAGAACCTAGAAACTGCTGACGAACGAGCCGACACAGTTCCAGGTTCAGCATCACTAACTCAGCATATTAATTTGTGCAGCACCACTGCATTTTCACAAGTGAGCTCAAGCCGTTCTTGAAGCAACGTCTAAAGAACTAAAGTCAGTGTTCTTGGAACACTTGATTTGTTTGCATGACTATGTAGAAGTCTGAAGAACATGGTGAATGGCAAAAGCAGCTGGCCCCATAGTATCTGAAGCAGCCAGGAAGTTCTAACAACTCTTAGACCAAAAGCTAGCTGGCTACCTAGCAGAAGATATATCCATCTTCACGAGTTATAGAGATCAAGGAAAAGTATCAGTTCCCACCTAACTTTTATCTATCGACAATGAACTTCAAAATATTTCTTACTCTTGGTCTACCGGATTAGTCCCCACGGAGATAAAAATGGATCCTACGCCCACACAAAAGGGACCTGGTCCCTGGGGCAAATGTAATTTTACACAACCAAAGCAGAGATGGTGCAGAGAGCTAGCCATCAGTAGAAATTTTGTTCTTGTCATCATAGATATCTGAGTGAATCTAAGAACTTTAGTTGCCCAAATACCCAATCTGAAAGTTCTTCGTTCTTTTATGTGGTTCCGTCAGAGTCTTAGTCTATAGTTTGTTCATGAAACTCGACAAACAACAACATAACTAGTTACCTTAAATCCTTCTTTGTTAGCTAGGATTATACTAAAATGGAAAATACATTATGACTATGTGATGCAGACAGGTAATGAGAACAGTACTGAAACTTACATGTCCTGTTCATGCTCATTGGCCAAAGCAGCTTTAGCGATGCAAAAAAATGCTGGGTCGACATTGTAGTCCTCTTTTGCTGATGTCTCAAAGTAAGGTATGTTTCCTTTTGCAGCACACCATTCCTTTGCTTTCTTTTCAGAAACCTACATTTGCCAGCAATTAGACAAATATCCGAGAGACAAATTTAACCAGCAGAAAGAACTACATGTTGTCCTTACCACTCGGCTGTTTCCACCATCTACATCAATCTTGTTTCCGAGCAAAATAAATGGAAATGACTTTGGATCAGCCGGATTTGCCTGGTACAAATGATGATGATCATGCCACTTATTAGGAGGGGGAAAAACATCACTTTGCAGCACTGGAGCAAAACCTTTAGAAATAAAAGAGAGCATCCTAGCTAAAGGCGCAACAGTAGCAGGATCTGATACAGCAAAGATAAACATCAACATTTACACTTTTATTACCTCAATCCTACTATCTTAATGCTTGGCAAGTAAATGGCATCTCATGAATGCAATGTGTTTGACAAGAGCCTTATCATAAAGCTGTCATATGACTTGGAAAGTGGGATTTTCAAACTGGCCAAATTATGTCAAGACTCATAAAAGCTTCAGAACTTGAGTGTTTTCCATGTGCATGTCACTGTATCTGATATTGATTCTGATCCATTAAAAGAGCGTCAACCATCTGCCCTTGAACTTGAAAGAATCATGATTATTCTAGTTTGACTCAGCATTGAATCCAACATTTGGGATTAGTACAGTCCGGTTGCCGCTTCCACAAAATGATATTTCTCCTATGCTAGTGATGGGAGGATTGTGCTACTCAAATCCTATCATTGACTAAGTGACTGGTTCACAGAAATCTTATAACGGTTTGAATCAACGATAACAGGTAGTATATTAGGACTAAGCTAACATAAACCACAGCAGCAACAGAGGAAGAAGAATAATAGGGGGAAGGGAGGAGATGAACAAACCTGTTTCAGAAACTCATCGTGCCAATTCTCGAGACTATCAAAAGAACGCATGACATTAACATCGTAAACAAGAACACAGCAATCCGCTCCTCTGTAGAACGCAACTCCAAGACTCTGAAACCGCTCTTGCCCTGCCGTGTCCCATATCTATCCACACACAACAATTCAGCAACTTATCAAAACCTACTCCAAAATCGAGATAGACCACAGAGCTAGAGTCAGGAAGGATAAACCCACTTGAAGCGTGACAAGCTTATCATCCATTTGGAGTTCTTTGGTCACGAAATCTGCACCGATTGTAGCTTTATACTGCTGGCTGAATTTATTGTGCACATATCTAGATTAGAAGCTCAGGAAACTCCATTTTCACAAACTCCTGAAATGTTATCAATTCCCTACGAGCTAGCTGCCAATATTCGATTCAACCAAAATTTCAGCTCTCCACAAATCGCCATTTCCAGCACCGTGGACAATTTACACAGCAAAAATTGAGGATTCAAACAATTACGACTCCATCCATCAAGAATTAAGCTGAAACCAAACAAACCTTGCAACTATGGATTTCAAAAGGACCTGATCTCACGTGTTGACCGAATAAGCAAAAGGAAGAGGAGAATTAAATAAAAAGGAAAAGGATACTGATTCATCAACGACGTCTTGCCAACCCTGACATTCCCGGGAGAAGAAAAGGATAGAAATGAATCAGTCATGGTCGTAAGAGAGAGAGAGAGAAGCGAAATCGCTCGAAGATTGAAAACCCTAGAGAGAGAGAGAAATCCAAGAAGCCGTACCCACTGTCGCCGAGGACGATGACCTTGAGCAAAGTACGGCGACGTCCTGACATGAGGCCGGAACCGGAACGAATTAAACGGCGTACTTGCGAGCTGCAACCGTTCGACGGCGAGAGGGAGGTTGTGGGGCAAAAGATTTTTCAAATTTTTTACGAGGATTGCTAATTTTCTATCAATTAAGGAAAACCGACCGAAACCAGCAAGAAGGGGAAAAAAAACGAAGGAGAGAGGGAAGAAGACGGACGGAGGAGACGACAAGAAAAGAAAAGGAAAAAAAGGAGCGCCAATTTCGATCTGCATTTCCCCCACCTCCTAACTATTTACACTTTTACTACCTAGTTTCTTTCTTAACCCAATTTCGGTCTCTAAAGATAGATTGCTTATGTTTGGCCCGGCTTTTAGAAGTGTTTTTCGGCTTCAAAAGATGAAGCAAGGCCAAATACCTCCAAAAGTTCGGCTTTTGAAAAGCCGAAAAATGTTTTTGTATAACATAAAAGCAGAAGCTTCGATTTAGAGCTTCTGCGAAAAGCTGTTTTGAAAATACAAGATTATCCTTATCATATTTTAGTTTTATTTTAGAAAAATATTAATTTATTTCATTTATATTATTTTAAAAATAAAATAAAGTATAAAATCATATTATTTCATATAAACGAAGTCTAACAAGATTCATTTTAACTACATTTTATTGTTTAGAATTATTATTCGTAGTTTATATTATAGTCATTTTTACACAACCTCTCATATTAAAAAACACTTTTAATAAATTTTCAATCAAACACTCAACTACTTTTTTTGAAAAGTACTTCTATAAGAACTCAAGTAAAAAACTGCTTCCGCAAAAACTACTGCAGGACCAAGCTGAGCTATTGTCACTTTCCCATTGGCTTTTCAACCAACTTTCCTTCTTCTTCTTCAGTTTCTGTTGCTCCACGTCGTCGTTTGACAGGTTTGTACTGGATTTTGAAGAAAAAGAAAGAAAGCCACGTAGACAGCCAGGTGGACCAATCAAAAAAGAACTGTGGGTTCTGCGCTATTGACAGTTTTGACCTTTTTATGCCACGAATTCGGACGCCAGGAAAAAATGACTTCTCACTCTTCTTTTCCATCTCTAAAAAGCTCTCATTCAAATCTCAGTAAATCTACTCCAGCTGCCGTCCTCGGAGCCTTCAGTACCCAACCCAGGGGTTTTAGCTTCCAACATAGTGGTGGCAGGATAGGGTGGAAGGCATTGAATGGCGATGATATTCCCACCACCAGTTCGCCTGATGATATCAAGGAAAAGCAACGACAGGCTAGCGCCAGAGGAGGGATGATGATCTGCCGCCGAGACCACCTGATAAGAGCACAATGCCAAAAGGCCAACTAAGAGAAGTTATTGGGGCTGGGGTAGTTGAGAGATCTGTCATGGGAACTGATACAAAAAGAACTCAGCAAGATACCCAAATCAGGGTAGATTTGTTCATTAATGCTTACATATGGGGTCTCCAGGAGGAAGCAGAGGAAGCTAGTGCATCAATGATGAACGCCTACGAGATCCCTTTCGTTAAGCCCAGATCGCCGACACAGAGATACAGGGGGAGTAGTTATTGCTCTGTCGGGATCTTTACTCCCCGCCC